AAACCAAAAAAAATTTGATTTGAATGTTCTATGTTCTGTTGCCTGCTTGTATGTATGTATGCACGCATGTATGTTTGCCTGTCCTGTTAACAATCCTGTAGTCAGTCAATAAATGTATTTGCTGCGTTCAACTTCTATCTCCATCATCTCCTCGTAGTCACCGTAGCTCCGTAACTGTAGCTCACCGTAGTCACTGTAAGATGTAGTAGACTTGTGCTGTAATATGTCCTCATCTACGAGTGTAATAGTAAAGTGGTCTGGCCGGTGCATAAACATACTTATTCCTCTTACTGTACATCTTCTCTAATGTAGTCACATATACCTTGGAAGGCTTTACACTTAGTTGTAGCGTGGTTATCCGCCGTTGGTAGAGTCTACAAGCACCAAAAAAAAAGGGGCTGTGATATTCGCCCCCTTGAGTGATGACTCACCAAAAACACCTCCTACAAGGGATAAGAATACGTGAGAGGAAAAAGCCCATTTATTGGAGCATGACTGAACAGAGTCCTAAACAGTTTATAGGTCTACTAAAGAACGATTTTCTGCATATCCAGACTCCCAAGGAAGAACGCCTAGTTAGAACACGATAGCAACATATTCGACAGCCAGAATACATCGTGAGAACAATAAAGGATCGTAAAAGAGAGAGAGAGAGAGATGAAAGGAAAGAAGACGCTTGACCTACGGCCATTCAAGTTTTTGGACAACAAGGGGGTATAAAGAAAAGAAAGAGGAAAATGAGAAAGGAAGCTCAGTAGAGCCGCAAACACGTATAGAAAGTGATAAGATGGCAGCCGTATAATATAGGACATTAGATCATCTCCGCAAGACAAGTGCAAGTACACCGTTGTTTTTAACCATCCATCTCCACGTCTTCTCGTTGAGCTGGCATGGGGATAGGAACCTTGCGGTCCAGGTCACCCTCGAAAGGGGGAGGTTGTGGCATGTTTTGTGTGTTGGTATTATTATTATCGTTGTTGTTGTTATTGTTGTTGTTGCTGCTGCTGCTTGCAGATGGCCTCGGTCGTCGTAGTGTATCACACCAGTTTTCGGCGCTGACGAGGGTATCATTTACGACGTTGCTGACTTGGCCCATCATATCAAGGCCTTCTTCAGCCAGCACGAGGACACGGAAAGCCCTTGTTCTCATTTCGGATTCAGGAGCAGAGCCATCTGCCGGTACGTTGGAGTTAAACGCGATACGGAACCGCTGCGGTAGAGATGTGAGGTGTCTTCGGACGAGGTTGCGGGCGTTCTCGGGTAAGGCTCCACCGGCGTACTTGGACACAACGTCGACCACCATCTTCAACGTCTGCAGGACATCCCCTTTGACCTGCTGGATTTGTTGTGAGAGTATTGCAGGGCTTTGCTGCTGACTGCCTTCTTCACTTGTCCTGCTTTCCGTATTAAGCTGGTTGGAAGTGTCCCATTCCCTAAGTGCCTCCTTGAGACTGCCCACGGACGCCCCGATCCGCCTGTTTGCCCACTGCAGCCAGGTAAGACAATAGGTCAAGCTTCTGAGCGATTCTTCGCTCATTGCTACTCCGAGACCCGAAGTGGATATCATGAGCCGGTTTTGCCAGGAATATTGGGTCTGAGACTGCTGCTGGGGCTGTTGATTACCCTTGTACAGCTCGTCGTATTTCGGGGAAGAAGCGTTATCATAAGGAGGTAGGGGTTCAGACGAAAGGGTTGATGACCGTCTTGAATGGCTGGTTCGGAGGTCGTGCATGCCTTTCTCGATATCTGCTGTTTCTGCACCCTGGCTATTGTTATTGGAACTGGAGTTGGCGTTGGATTTGTTGTTGACGCTCTCCCTACGTTGAAGGGCCCAGCGGAGGCCGCCTTCAACTCCGGTCCGCCTACCAACCGAGCCCACCGTGTTCAGAACTTGGGGGCCAATGTTTCGTTCAATGAACTCGGCGCCGTATCTGAATTTGGGAGAGTATGTTTTGGACGATGTATAGACCGACATGGAGCTGTTGATTGCGGACGAGAGCAACGGGTGTGATGTGATAAGGGATAACAACGGCTCCGGCTCTGTGGTTTCCGGAGCTTGAGAGCTAGCGTTATTAGAAGACCTTGAAGGAGCAGGAGTATGCGTGTATTCTAGTTGATCACAGCATCAGTCAGACAAAGATTCTGATTCTGAAATAAAAGAAAAGAATAAAATAAAAGGAACAGTTGGTTGACACTAGAAGATTATCGTACCTGAGCGTAGCCCTTCTAGAGCCTGAGCGGCCTCAATATCGTCCATGGAGATGACACTGGTACCGCGTCTCGAGCGCGTGTCACTGCCAACGCTGTCTACCTCCATGTCATTGGAGCTTGCTTGCTCTGCGCTGGGAGGGTGGTATTGGGGGGGAGGAGAGTCGGTCATGGCCTGCGACTGCTGCTGGTGCTGTGGCGTGTAGCCCGGAAGCGCCAACGGGGTATTCTGCGACTCGAGCTGCTGGACAGCGGCCTGGCCTCCTCCATTACTAGGCGGGAAGGCCTGGATCATTGTCATGTTGCCGTGCCGCAAAGACGAAGAGAGAGAGAGAGAAAGAAGCAACTATCTCATGTCCCAACCGCGCTCGACAGCCGCCTGTTCAACTGCTCGTCGTCGCTCTACCGTTTGCGGATTTTGCACGTGAAGACGACGGGTAGTTTTGTCTTGGCGACGGGGGATCTAGTTTATATATATATCAACACCGGACTCGGGACGGCGATGGCTTGATGGCGTGTGATTGCTCTGGTTTCCCACGAGAACACTGGCGAGTGTATTGTAGCAGACGAGAAGGACGAGGGAGAGGAGAGGCCACTCGTTCTAGCTTGCTGGGGGAGTTTCAAGGGTTGGGAACCTGCGTGTGATAAAAGAGAAGAAAAAAGAAGCTCAGCCTCGAGGCGGGTATCCACAATCTACCCAGTAGTTAGTTAGTTTAGTTACGTTGAGTTAGTTAACTAAGAGCAAGTACTTATTAAGTAAGTATACACAGCAGCACAGATGCCAATCACCACGTCCACGGCCAGCAATCCAGCAAGCGGGATGGACCCCCAGAAGGCCAGCAGTGCCCGGAAGAGCCTTCACTGGCTGGACAGACAGCAGATCTCGCGCTTTCGTCGCCTTTGAAACGACGCAAGAAAAAAAAAGCAGCCAAAAAAAAACAGAAAAATGCGCGAGCTCGTGACATGTGACTGTTTGGGGGCTGCAGCATGTGATTTTGGCTTAGTCATGGATGGCTGTGATGCTATTGGCTGATGGTCGAAGCGCCCTATTTCCCTATTTGGAAGGTACAAAATCACGACTTGCCAAGCCTTTTTGATTTGAATGTTTATCTAATCAGATAACGATAAGGCGATAAGCCCGCGGCCGAAGGGGACGAAGCGCCGGCGGATGGCGACGGCGACGGCGGCGATAAGGGAGGGTGGAACGACGCCTGGCAGCTGCGCCATGTTTTTTGGCTTGCTTGATCATGTCATGGACATCTGCCAAAAGGCGTCCTCTGCCGAAGCCAGATGCCAGAGTTGATCCGTCACATATCCTCGTATTAAGACGAGACCAGCTCAGGCAAAACACGTGGTTTGTCATTTACGTAAAACCAAACGGGGGGGTGACAGTCTGCTGGGCTGGGACAAGGCCCAGGGCAAGCAGGGCAATGTACAAGTACATATATACAAACAGATGGACAATGCCAATCCATGTCTAGAGATGGAGTCGATGTCAGAACAGTGCATCGGATTCTAGATAAACTTAATCTAACATTATGATGCAGTAGTTCGTAGGGTATCTCTCTTGATCAGAATCGAAACTTGCCGTCTCATCAAACAGCAACATGGATAAACCCAGCAACACCTTTGCCTCAGATAACCACATTGGTATGAATAATCGTACATGGCACCACTCAAGGGATTCTGTAACCTAGAAGGAACAAGATAAACAGTCGCAAACCCCAACAAACCAAAAAAAATTCAAGGTTTAGCTCATCATGGCCAACCTGTAGCGTTTCGAGCGGGGACTGGTGGGTTTCACATGAAGAGCCAAAATAGTACTCAAAGTACTTGTACTCCAACACTCTATCCTGGTCTATCAAAATCAACATAATAATCACCAGAGATTCGCTTGCTAAAGTGTATGTTGCGTTCGCAGTTCGCTCGTAAAAAAGAAAAATGCATAAATAAGGGTATCTTGCTCTGAAAGCCAAAATAAAAAATGGGGAAAGAGAAGAATGTAAAGATAAAATCGGGTATCCGAAATCCAAAATCATACAACTGAATACCAGTCATCATCGCTATCATTATCGAGGATTTCTTGTTCCTCAAGAGATCTCAGGAGTAACAGCTCTTCCTCTGCCTCTGCCTTACGGCGTTCTGTCTCGAGTTTCTTCATCATTGACTTGTTCATTGTCAGTCTATGGTAGATAGGCGCTTGGACGCTGTACCAGGGGCCGTTCGCTCTGGCTTTCATATGACAAAGGTCCTTGAACGCGGCGTGCCATGTAAACCAGGAATCTGGCGAACACTGGTACGCACATGAAGCCAGCAGGTTCTTCCATTCATAAGCGGACTCCCTCCAGACAATAGCAACAGGATGGTCAATATCAGGGGGCTTAATGGCCATCAAGGACTCAGCGGCAAACGTAACTTTAGCTGCATGGGACAGCTTGTCAGTTACTCTGCGATAGGTTTCAGAGGCCGCCTCAACCTGTTCTCGGAGCTTGTTGATAGCATCCAATAATTTGGAACACCCAGAGTTTCTTTCTTGAATTGCGCGGTCCCAAGTTTTCTTCCAGATTGCTATGAGATCTTCATCAACCTTGGGAATATTAGTCGAAGGGCAGTCATTGTTTAGGCGAGAGTAGATCCTCTCTTTAACCGTTTCAACAACTTCAAACCTCAAGCAGTCGAGGATATTGTCCGACTTCCAGGTAATAGGCTCTCCGTCCTGCTCAGATGCCTTGTCGATTTTATAAGCTGGATTTCGCAGGGTTAATGGGCCCAGGCTTTCACGGTATTTTTGCCTATTTTCCGCCGGATACTCGTACCCGGACTTTCGTATATCTGCAAGGTGGCTAAGCAAACCTGAGAAATGTATTGCAAGAGGGGAACCAATGCCACCCCGATGGTAGCAATACCTCTCATGCTCGTTGGTGCACAAGCCAAGAGGGTTTTGCGACATATTGAAAGTGAATGCGTATTCCATGAAACGGTCGAATGGCATGTCCCCGACACGTCGAGACACCTTCACGAGGCCGTATTCCTCAGGTTCCGGGATTTCTGGCATGGGATAGTTAACGAAGGGTTTAACAATCTCCTGGTCCCAGCAAACCCAAACTTCATCACCATCATAATCACCGCCGGAAAGTAGGGAAGCAAGAGGAACGTCGCCTTTGGTGAAGATAGCCACGTGCTTCAGGTATCTTAGTGCAGGATGAAATACAGCTCGGCACTTCTGTATATCACTAGGCAAATGAGCAGGAGCTCGAGCAACCAGCACATCGATACCATCTAAGTCCGTGGTGCCATCTTCCCAGCTATCCCCAAGATCGAGATGAATCTGGCCTTCTTCAAGCACACCATAGGGATCAGGTATACAATATACGTAGGTCGAGTGTGGGATTTTTATTTTGAGGGCTTCAAGCTTTTGGACAAAGCCACCTAGAGAATTCTCTTTAAATAGTCTTCGTACGAATGCAAGGTTCGAGGGTGAAAACCCGGCATCAAGAAGCCCGTTGAGTTGTGCAGTGTGGTTAGTGGGGAAAGTACTCTCATTCAAAGCCAGGATTTGAGAGGACGCATCTCCTCCATTTTTCCTGACCCAGGCTCGACAGGCTACAGAATCTCCGTTTTGGACGAGTAAGAATTCGCTGTAAAATTTATCTGCTTCGTCCGGGATGAGAGAGAGTATGTACTCCTTGTTGACACCTCTGTCTTGCAGTACCATCAAAAACTGGATATTCAAATGCACCGGTTGGGGAGGCTGGGAGTATGAAGAGACATCAAAAGTCAATTGGTGCTCATCGAACGTCAAACTGGTATCACAAGGGGGAGGCTGCACTTTCAGCTGGGACGCATTGATGACCAGCCAATATCCTCTCTCAGTTTCAAAATGTCGAAGGCCCTTCACATGGATGTCGTGATCATCTTTGGCAACAAGCCATATTCCCTTAGCTCCGGCAATTCTACCTTGGAAAATGGTTGGAACCTTGGATAGACACAGGGAATCTGCAATTGCTTTTCCTAACGAGCGGGACATCATGGCAAATCCGTCGCTCATTTTTTCTTGCCTTGGATCATCATCGTAAATGAATTCCTCCGGCCGAAGAGTAATGGTTGCTGTGGTCCTCGAGAGTCCTAGGCGGATTCTAGTAAACAGTTTGGAGTATTCCTGATGGGTGTTCCTGGCATAGTGAATGTGCCAGTCAACCAGCTGCTCAACCGTCATAGGCGTGTGGTTCTCCGAAGTCTCATCCATCGGCGAAATCCCTGAAGGAGTCCCAAGGAAATCCTCACCGTCAACGGCAAATAGGAATGTTTTACGCCCAGAGCCACTGAAGGAAGTTGTCTTCGACTTAGATTTAAAGTCCTCCAAATAGAATGCACGCCATCTACGGCCAAGGAGATAATGGTACTCATTCGAAAGCCATTTGCCTAAGGCTTTCCCAAAGATCTCTGCATCACGTCCACTTTTAGTTGGATGCTTTGAAGGAAGTAATATCTCTAGGAACCTATCAGCCCCGTATCTTCGAGCGAACCTGTGGCTCTTTTCAAGCTTCAGTGGGTTCAGAACTAGGACCAATCTCTCATCCTTCCACTCAAGCTGGCCACTGAAAACCACCATGGTCCGTTTTTCGGGATCCATGTAGCTTTCGGTTGCTACCCTCCAAACACCCAACTTTGGCTTTTCAATCTTGTTTTTGTATGGCCCACGAGACAAGATTTGGGAAAGAGTATCATAAGATTGGTCTTCAGTAAGTATATCTTCCGAGAGTATGGTCTCAGGCATGATATCACACGCCCGCGCCAAGCGTTCAACTTCATATCGAAGCCGTAGGGGAATATCTTTAAACCATGCAAGCCGTTTGGAGAAAGGGCCTTTGGTCACTAGGTCCGAAAGCATTGGAATGAGCTTTCCTTCATCTAATGGCCTGAGAGTGGGAGAGATGCGCATCACCGGGTATCTTGGCAACCTAAACGTAGCACTTGCAAAGGAAGTCAAGGGCGTGGTAACACGAGAATTTGGCACAGTTGATACAGTCGTTGAGGAAAAGCTTCGACCTGGGCTGGTAGAATCGTTGAAGGAAAGGCCCTTCGAATTCGACAGCCCAGGGCGCATGCTGCGGCTGGGACTTTTCTTCACAATCATCCCATCGTTTATTTTGGACTGCAACGTATCAATTCGAGGAGATGCCGTACACGGCGCAGGCCCTTTCGTGGGTGCGCTGGGGACAATTCCATAATCTCCAAGTTTTAGCTGCTTGCGCTTCTTAGAGGGAGTCTGGATTCTCACCATCAATATCAGTCAAAGCTTCCACAGCAAAATCAAAATCAAATCCATCAAACTTATCAAAATCGGAGAGCGCATAGGTATCAGAACCGTAGCCACCGTCGCAAGCATCGGATGATGAACATGTGTCAAAATCAAAAATGGGGGATGAAGGCGCGGTGGAAAATACCTCAGAATTATTTTTATTCTTCCGTTTAGCTGACCTATTGCCGTTTGTTTCCGGTATGCATTTATCAGGGGTATCGGTGGTTGAAGTGTCCGCGGAACTGGTCGGTCGCGCGGGAGAGGTGCTTTCAGCTAAGTTGTACTTCGTCATCCAAGCAGCATCATATAGTATTTTAGACCAATATTCATAAACCCCGGCTTTTTCTTTCTCAGAACGCAGCCTCAAACGCTCGTCAAGCCCCCGCCGTAGTGCCGTAGATGAGAGCGGGTCAGCAAAATGACTTTGAAAGGATCTCCCAGATATTTGGCGGTTAGGGAATTGTTGTCTATCCCACTTGAATAACTCCATTAGGGGCTCGTGGAGGTGATCCTGCCAGTACAGGTAGATAACGTGGTTGACGCATTTCTGTTCAGCGGGACAACTTTCGGAGGAGCCTTGGGATTGTACCCTTGGTAAATCGAGGTCAAAACCAATGTTTATGTCTTCAATTATCCGCTCAAGATCTTTGCCGGATTTTTTTCGTTGCTTGTTCATTGTGGTATCTGAGGGAGTCCGTTCAGCACATGTAACTAACGAGCTAAGTTGAACATTAGCACCGTCAGGAGAAGGAAGATTATACATCAAATGTCAGGAGGATGCAGATAGGATACAATATATACCTGCCAATGTCCAGCTGAGTTGGAAATTATGACCCCGCCATGCAAGCACTCAGCCGTTGTGATGAGGACGTTGATATCCAAATAGTCAACTATCGCTGCGCAAGACGAAGAGAAGCCTCAAAACAAACGCTCAACGCGACGAACAACTTAAGGCGATGAGTAGCGCAAATATTAATGAAGCGATAGAAGTAGCATTGGCACGTTTTGACAGGTCCGCAAGGCTGTCAGCAGCGTGAACCGTGTCAAGTGTGCGGTGTTGAGGTTGAGAATCAGTCCCCTGTCGCAAGTTTGTTTTGTCGTGGCTGATAAAGAACAGAGAGAGCGGCTGCAGGGGGGAGAGGGGGCGAGCATCGCCAGCAGACACTGAATCACCCAAAGAGTTAGCGAGTCATTGACCAGCCATCTTTCTTTATTTCCTGCACATTCGATGTCTGCATGCATATATACGCCAATCGCAGCGGTGGGAAAATGCGGGATTGAGCCTTTTCTTCTTTTGTTGACGAGAAATCAGAGGGACGTCGTGAGTTGACTTGCTTAGTGTTAGTGTTAGTTAGCCCTGTCGGTCGTGCATAAACGAGTCGGGCCTGAGGAAGCGAAGCGACGAGACCAGACGCTGCCAGAAAAGCTAGTTACAGAGTATATATAGACAAATTTGAGAGAGATATGGCTTTCATTATCTTATATACTCCATACAAATTCACTCAAAAATAGAAGAAAGGCATGAACTGTATTTTATTCATGAGAAGAAACATCAACGCTAGGTCGTAAACATGGTGTCTAGAATAGCCAGGATACGAATGTCCTGTAGAACCAGCCGGCATCACCCTGCTGCTCTCTCCTGAGAGCCTCCTGGGCCAGGAACTCAGCCTCCTCACGATCGATCTCATCCTTTCCACTCCAGAGATCGGCCTCTGCAGCCTTGACGCCGGAGGTCTTGGTGTAGAACTTGTATCCGAAGAGAAGGATGAGATAGATAGGGATACCGAGGTAAGAGGTGATGAAGTTTTTATAGTCGAAGTTACCATAAGTTTTGGGGCTGTGAGCAAAGACGTTGAAACTCTTGGTGAGACCGATGAGGATACAGAAGGCGAGAGCACCATAGGAGCCAGGAACACCCAACGGTGCCTTGAAGGCAAGGGACGTTTCTGAAACGTTCTGGGCGTTGCGAGCACGCACAAAGTAGATGTGTGTTACCAGGATGGAGATCCAGGAGAGAAGACCGAACATGGTAACCATGTTCACAAAGTAGCCGAACACAACCTTGGAGTCGTCCGAGACGTTCAGGTATGCGAGCAAGGCAAACATGGTAGAGAGTGCAAGGGCGTAGATAGGGACACCGCTGCGGTTCGTTCTGGCAAGGATAGCGGGAGCTTTGCCTTCACGAGCCAGACCGTAGATGGTTCGGGTTGCAATGTAGAGATCGGAGTTGGCGGCAGAGAAGACGAAGACTAGGATGCAGGCGTTGAAGATGGATGGAAGAACCTTGATTCCGGCGATCTGGATAGCCACAACGAATGGAGATGCACTGGCGCTGTTGGAAGACTTGTTTGCAAAGAGGAGGTCTGGGTGGTTGTATGGCACAACCATTCCGAGGAAGAGAATGCTGAGACAGTAGAAGAAGAGAATTCGGTAGAAGGTAAGCTTGATAGCACGGGGAATCGTCTTTCGAGGGTTCTGAGCTTCGCCGACAGTTACACCAACAAGCTCAGTTCCGAGATAAGCGAAAGTGGCTTGAACCATAGTTGACCAGAAAGCAAGGAATCGGCCGGATGCGCCGTGGGTAAGGTATGTGTTAAACGCTCCTGGATCCTTCCAGTATCTGAACCCTTTCCTATCATGATCGGGACCGCCTCCGAGGGCAAGGATGAGAGTCAGGAGCATGATTCCAAGGATAATGATGACCTTGAACGAGGAGAGCCAGAACTCGAACTCGCCGAAGAATTTGATGCCGAAGTAGTTGATCGCGACAATGACGATCAGGAAAACAGTGATCCATACTCCTGGGTTCACTTTATCTCGCTTAACCCAGTACTGTATGACCAGTGCTGCAGCAGTTAACTGATTCGGCGTGATGATAATATACTTGCAGTAATAACTATTATCACAACATGTTAGCAAAGATAATGTAAAAAAAAAGAACAAAACTGCATTCATGCAGGTGCAAGTAGTTACTAACCTGTAACCCAGGGCAAAGCCAAGAGCAGGGTCGCAAAATCTAACGGCATATCCAGTAAAACCACTGGCGAGGGGTAGCCATGCGGCCATCTCACCAAGCGCGCTCATAACAATCCAGACGACAAAACCGACAATGAGATAAGAAATAAAAACGGACCCGGGCTGAAGGTTATCACATTAGCGCTTTGCAGTGGAAACTCATGGCTTAACGCGGAAATTCAACTTACACCAGCTTTTGCCAAAGCAGCTCCAGTACCAATAATCAAACCAGTTCCAATTGCACCACCAATAGCTATTAACAGCTGTTAGCGAAATCGTCCAAGCTGCAAGCTGGATCTATCATGGCTTACCAATCATAGTAATGTGCCGGGATTTCAGTCCACGGTGCAAGCTGGTGTTTGGATCGCTCTCATACTGTATCTCGCCGGTCTGATCTGAAAACTCCTCCTTCGTCTGCATCGTCTCACTGAGAGGGCCATCTTTCTGTTCCCAGGTCGCCATCGTGGGCGGTTGGCAAAAGCCGGAGACGTCTGGCCTGGACTGAGGCTATTGAGGCAGTTAGTTTGACACGCCGGACAAGGACTCTCTAGACACTCTATAAATACGGTGCCGCGTGGGAGAGCTTCAACACCGTCAGTCTTGAGGCGGGAGAGGGCAAGGTCGGAGGGAGAATGCAGCAGGCTGCGGCTTGGTGGGCGCAAAGGGTAGTATTTATATCAGCAACCAAAAAACACAACCATAGCCTACTGTGCAAAAACGCGAGGAAAAAGTAAAAAATTTGCAAAAAAGTGGGCAAAGGCCTTAATGACTCCCGTTTAACCATTCTGGGGTTGCAGAGAGGGAGAGGTTCCGACTTAACGCCATCTCCATAGCTGGGTCGAGTACTCCGTCAAGCGTCCCGAAAAAGCGTGTTCACCCCGTATATAGTTTGGGCGTATGTGGTATTAGTACCCTTGGATCCTATTGGTGCGGTGCCGGGAAGCAGCCGGTGGTGACCTGCGTCCTTAGACATGGCGAGTTACTCCGTGATGAGACTCCCGCAAACCGCCCAACCTATCAAATGGGGGCTTCTCTGATGCAAGAGTTCGGGACAGCCATATAATTTATCGCTATTATGCACCAAAAGTATGAAATTTCATGGAGATTGCAGGCTAACGTTAGTTAAGATCCCTGTCGTCCGGGGTTGTAATTTCAGCGGCATGGGGCCCCTGTCTGGAGTCTGGCAGTGACAGCCACTTGGGCGCTGGAAACAAATGCGTCAAGCCGAGATTTGGGGAGTCCTCTCGCTCTCGTTCTCTTGTCATGAATGGAGTAATCCATTGGAGGATATATTTGTTATCCCATCACGCGGCGTACTAGTGTTATCCGTCGCTGGTGAGTGCATTGACGGCGGCCGAATCGAAGGCTTGGTTGCGCCCCCAGGCCCAAATTAACAATAATGGAGGCGGGGGGGGCGACTCCGACTCAGGGTCAAAGGGTGCAAAGCTTGAAGACGGGCGAGCGCGCCTTGCTTAGGTTTCACGGACGGAAGAGAAAAAGGAAAGCTTCCAGAAGTTGTTCGATCAGCTAAACAAGCGTAGGACACAATGTGGGCTTGGTGAATACGAGCCCGACGTTCGTTGTTTCGTTGACGTTGGTCGTTCGAGGCAGAAGAAGAAAAAGTGGCTTTTTCGAGGGCGGGTCATGTGACAGGAGTGTTGACCCCCCCTTGCGGATCTACACAAGCAACGTCAAATCGACATCATCGTCATCACCACCACCACCACTACCAGCATGAAGAGAACGGGAAAGAGAGGGTGCGAAGGATATGCCGAAAGATAAGAGGTGCCGGAAGACAAGCATTACTGGAACCCCCCCGGCGGCTGCCGTCAAGCTCATCTTCCGTGGAGTGAAACAAGAGCCTACGGAGTACGGCCAACTTCCTCCTGTCGGAGAGGATTACCGAAGGCCATTAATCCCAACCTCTCCACCCGATGCTGCTTGCGACTGGTTTTATCTCCTATCCAGGTCCCTGTTGATGTGCAAAGCAAATCGAATCTTACGTTTGGCTAACATAAAATCATCCCTTCTTAGAGCCCTGTATGGAGAAACTGCAACCAGTGACGTCTGGTTGGGAATGCTATAGAGAAGGATTTTTTTTTTTTTTCCCACATAATTCTCCGCATGGATGCAGTATCCGAACCAGTCGGCTAGTGCTGCAAGGTCACGGTATGCCATATCTTACTTACTTGGGAGAGAATGGACATTTTTAGTTGCAGGACTGCAGGCTCTGTTATCATTTCGAATCTCCACCGACAAAATAGCCATTCTAACCCTTGTGGAAGAGGACCGCCTTTTCGTCCTGAACTGTGATGAGTCCGACTGAACGCCGCGAGTTACCGCCATGGAGCCAGGATAGACGATGCTTCTTGACTTGTTATCGTCGGCCCTTGGGAAGTCTCTCCGAAAAGTGCTGTGTCTCCGTCTCCTGACAAGGCCTCTGTTTGCATCCCTACCACCCCAAGTATCGCCTAGATGCTTGGTTGCTTGGGTGCCAGGGGGAAGCACACCTTGTTGTGCTTGGCAATCTCATCGTTTATCAGCGATTGATGGACCATCTTGTTATCAAAGCTGAGAGCGAAGAGCCTGATGAACGCAACGTCGAAGGAGCCACGTTAGACCAGCGAGTGATGCCCGAAACGCTGCGCTTTGTCTCCAGGCTGACATCATGGATCCCTTTGGTGTCAATATAAGGGCGCGAGCTTCCTCCAGTCACAGTAGACTTAGAAGCTCCATCCCATATTCCAGCTATTCCGTACATGACATCGAATGGGTACATGCTAGGTGGCGCGGCGACCAGCATCTTTGCATCACTAAGCATGCACGCTTTCCCACGCTAATTACACTTGTTTGCTTGACAGAAATAACAAATTATATTATTATTATTATTATTACGACTTGCTCTGCCGTGTAGTGCGAGACGCTGCATACATATTACTATTGCCACGGCCCACTGAAAACAGGCTTGTGAGACTGTGGGGTTCAGCCTCGGCCAGCGAAAGAGGGTTGCGTCGCCTTCGTGTTGGCCGCCCGAAATATATATTTATATCAGCACCAAGGCCGCCCAGTCTTATATACGGGAGCACAGATATAAAGTACCAAAGCCTCGCAGAGCTGGTCGCATGCGAAAGCTCCCTGCCCCGCAAGTCAGATATAGGCTGCTGCCTCAACTTTTGCGAGTTGAGATCCCTTCGTATCTCTGTCCGCCTCCTCCACACTTCGCCCCGTGCCAAGCTCATCTCGCTCGCTGACCACCACAGAAGCAATCGCCAAGAGCCGAGCTTAGTTAGTTACGCAGTCTGGCGGCCAAACAAACATGCGCTCCCTCGCCCAGAAGAACCTCCGCATTTCCAGAAAAATGAATAATGCTGGCAAGCTTTGGCGGCCACTTTCGCATAGTGGCCGACAGGGTTACACTCTTGGCCACCCAGGCCCCTTGGGAGTCTGGGGAATTTGAGGGGGGTTGCGCGATTTTGACCGGCTCGAGCCCAGAGTACTGAGCACTCCCACGGCCTATCAGGCAGGGATAGGCAGAAGAGCAGTCGCTTTCACAATAATATGCTAACAATAGCACCCATGATAGCTGTTAGGTTTCTTCGCGTTAACTGTTCCTCAGTGCTGGAAACACCGTTGACGGGATGATCACAGCCATCACGTGTGAAGCTCGCCTCGTGAAAGGTAACCCCAACGAAATTGCAACCTTGACATCCTCCACGCCACAATTTACCCCCTTCCATAGCTCCGTTAGCTTAAGGGGAGCTCTTTTGGTGCTTCCAATTCTGACTAGTTACAGATAATTTACGGAGTACTCCGTACCCCAGAAGCTTCTAGAGATAGTTTTATCTTTCCATCTGGAAGAACACCTTATTCCGCCGAGTACGCAATTTACGCATCGATCGACCGGTCTATGGCGTAGGGCGTAATGCTTAGCATCTACTTCTCTGGTGGTTCCGTTATTTACTCTTAGCAATTGTGTTGGCTCTGGATCGAATGTGGAGGAAATCTCCCGCGGAGCTAGAATTTATTTATATGCCCGATAAATACCCGACTCGTGGAATTGGGAACATACGCCGGATCTATACTTCCTTCGTTATTACATCCCAGCGCCCAGAGAAATAGAGAGTTAACTTGCTAACTAGTCAATGCAGAGTAATTAGCCAAGCTCGTTTAACGAGTGTCTACGGCCTGGCTATGCTTGGCTCACCTGACAGGATTCCTCATCTGTGATGCCTGAAGGAATGGACTTTTCAAGACTTCGTTTCTTGACATCTTGGCCGCCCAGTGAAGCTGGGGTGGAAAGTATTGTGAAAGGAGAGAGAGAGAGGGAATTGAATATATTGGTTTGAATCACGTACTTATTGCTTCATTAACCGGTCCATCCTAAGTAGGTGGTGGTATCATCCATCTATCATCGATATTAATTCCCGATACAATGCTACTTATTAACCCTAAGCACGAGAGAAAAGAGAAAGACAAAGGAGAGTCTTCAAGAGAAAATGGAGAGAGACCAATTATTGCATTTATGGTGTTCCTGGATAAATCGAAACGGGTATCTTTGAGCAGCTCTCACAGCATAGAGAAGGATAGCCAATGAGGTAACAGCGAAAAATATGCGTAGGAAGAGAGTAAAAGTGGAAGCTGCTGGAGTTCGAGGGTGGCGTATATATAATAATATGTCTGCCCGGCCATGATATTTACGGCGTGGCGTGATTCGGATTCTCCGGATATATCTTTTTTTCAGCCATGTCCATTGTGTTGTCCATTCGGTACGCTAGCCGGGGTATCAGAATATGAAAGTGGGAATCCGTCAGCACTGCCTCCTGATGAGCCTTTGGCAAACCCCTCGCGAGCCAGCATAGTGTTCATAACCGCGCAGTTGTACGCTGCTTCGCCTGGCGGTATCACAACAAGAATGTACGTATTGTCTGTGAACAACCCGAGGAACACGTTAAATTGTGGGGTCTTTGTGTGCATGACCAGGAAACTTGCTGACGCAGGGGTTGTATGCGTATTCCTAGCAGCACAGTGTTTGAATGCCTTCATGATGTTTGATAGCCGCTCGTGACGGTCGTAGATAGGGTTTAACTTGCCCACCTCAGACGTGACAGAGGTGATGGTCAGAAAGGTCGATCTTTCAAACAGAACCACCTCTTCAGCATCGATTTTTGCTGCAAATGCATGCAAAAACCTTTCTATCACGGAGAGGTTTGGGATAAGTTTATGTACGATCCCAGCCCAAGCTTTGTACAGCGACTGGTCCCAAATACTGCTGCCAAAGGTATCAATGGAAAATGAGCCAGATCGGGCGCGAATCAAGGCTGATCGTTCCTCACATATCCGCCTTCGGTGTTCGGCCTGGATTAAATCGAGCTTATGTATGAGACAGAAGACATAGGCGTTCGGACTGAATTCTTGGAGGGCACCGATGATAGCGCTGTAGGTGTCGAGGTCTCGCTCGACTTCACGGGATTCGATATCAAAAACATATACCAGCACGGCGACATCGGAGAATATATTTTCTCTCTGGGATGCGAGATACGTTTCCATGAATGCGTCTTGTCTAGGAGGTCGGGCATATGTCAGCAGCTAACCACGGTCTGTCGGGAGGGGGGATGCCGCAACGTAACCTACCCTCCGCAATCCCATAGATTCAAGGTTAGGTTACCGATAAACTTGACATGGCTATGTTCAACGTCAATTGTAGCGCCCAGCCGCCGCACATCCTTTGCGACATAGTTGCTAAATATTATCGATCGCATAGAGGACTTCCCCGAGCCGCTTTTGCCCATGAGCAGGACCTTCCGCTTCTTCTTTTTCATATCCATTGCTGTAGCGAGTATCGAAACTTCGACAAGTGAGTCGTGTCAAGTGATAGATGCTGTATAAAGACGAACGAGCTAGGCACTGGTGGAACTACTCGTCAGTGGGAAAAGATCTGGGGTTCTGGGGAACGAAGGATGGCATTTTGTGTGAGGAAACTCGCAAACTGACGTAGTGACGCATGGAAGGTTTGGCATTGCCTGGTTGGGATTAGCGCGTCAGCCACTCTGCTAACACAACAAGCCAAGTTGTCTACAACCTATTTTACAGATAGACAACAACCCGTTGGTGGGCTTCTGCTTTATTATCCCCTTCCTATATATTGCAATATACGAGTTCCCAGTTTACCAGAGATATGCTTGCATTAACCTCCTCTATCGTTGATCTGATTAATTGAATAACTAAAATCCTGGAGCGGGATCCCCTATTTCTCTTCCTGAAAAGGCTATCCAGTTAATTGTCATATGTTTGAAATGAATTTAGGGGATGTCGAAAGGTGAAAGGCTGCCGATGAACCATTCGCATCGTCTGGAAGATCAAAAATCTAGCAATGACCAGCTTTGATAACAACGTTCCAGTTGTCGCTGTCAAACTCCTGACCTCTAAGCGAAGAAACCTCGGGATTCGTAACACACACATTTACAATATCCTGAGCATATTCTGCGATCTGCTTGCAAGGAATAGAGACCGAATGCGTGTTCTACCACGCATAAATTCAGTAAGTGTTGATAGTAAGCCGGGATTATACAACTTACATCGTTACAAAGGTAGATGCCTGCCTTCCAGGAGCAGCTCACACGGGTACATGTCCGTGGCGGGGCTTTACATTTTCCTTTGAGCCCTTTAAGATATTTAATGCCATCTCTGATTGTTCTGAGTGTAGCACCGTCGCCCTGTGGGTGACAGTTAAGCGAGACCTGGCTTTTCTCCCTCGTTAACAACCATCCACAGCTAATTTACCAAAAGTTTGAATGCCTTGGGTCAATATAAACTACCTTAGAACGGGTCTGGAGCTTATTTTTAGGGCCATCCTTTGGGAGGTCCTCTGGCTTTAGTATTGACCCGGTGAGATCTTTGACCTGGGAGTAGATCTCCTGGACAGTGCCTTCAAGGGTCACGTCCTTCCCATTTACCTCAACAGGGCCAATATATGTCAGCGGCACAATTGGGTAAGGAAGAGTGTCGGCGAGCGGGCTTGCATAGACCTGTTGTCATGTTAGGCGTACTTTAGCTCTCAACTGGTTACCCGGTCGCGGAACTAATAAAATACCTTGGTGGTGCCGATGCCGAAAGCCACAGCGGTAGCGAAAATCGACGCAGTATTAAATTTCATTTTGCCTGTCAATAACAAGTGATGCCAATACAAGCCCAAGAAATAGCCAATAAACCTCAAGGCGCAAGTAATTAGTCAACAAGGAAGAGAGAAAGAGAAGTTGAGGAGGGTGGATTGAGTGGGTGGCCTTTATAGCTTTTCCATCACGCTCTGCAAGTGACTACCCGGATGCAGAACACTGTCGTTCCACAGCCATTCTTGGTCACTCAGACGTCGCGACACCGTCGACATTCACGACTCAGCTGCCTCTCGTTGCTGTACCTGAATTTCCGTTTCTTGAGCCGCTAAGGTGGGGCGTGCAGGCGCCCAGCGCCGGAAGAGGACTAGTTCCCGAACGCGGCAGCCGCGCCGTGCGCCAAGCTGAGTTTGTAAGCGCGACCTTCTTTGTCGCTTCGCTTGCGATGACAATATTAAGGGTAACAGCTTCGCGCCATTCGCAGATTCAAGAGGCAGAAACGTAGATTATACGTTATTATATCCTTTTTCTTTCACTCAATATCCCCTAGAAAGGGGCAGGCCAGCGTGGCTGGAATGGCCAAAGCTATTCAAACCTATGTACGAAGTACTGACACGTTTAATGGAAAGAATGTTGCAGGGAAGAAATCCCATGGGGAGTAGATTCTGCCCTATTCTTGTCTAGCTGCCATATCGTATTCAATTGCATAGCTTTGAGGAAGTATGTACAGCGCTTCATAGAATGTATGGGTCTCATATCCCTGGATCTCCGCCATTGACATATTCCCTGCAAGGTTGGAGGAGTATTGGGCAATAAAGTGGGTTCATGATATGCTTTCTGCCCAGAATACGTACATTCGGATATCATTACCCGATATACTCCGTCTTAAAGTATCAGATGAACGCCTTTGTTGTTGGGTTTAATATGCGAGGAATAGAGACCTCATGATAACTTGATGTCCCCTTCTAGCGACCGAGGGAATATGTAGATTGAGAACACATAAAGGCCAAAGACGGTCCACATGTTATCTGCAACCAATAGAGAAACTTGTGCCTCTCCTCTATGCTTGTTTCTCTCCGCAGAACTATACATATAACGTTCCTCTAGCATGCCAGTGGTAGTAGTCAGCCGAGGTATAAACCCGGACTTCTTGTCTGCTGCAGGCCATAAAGAGCACGGGCGAGACTAAGGTAGTATCGGTAGACATTCATGATCTCATAATCAAGCTTTTGCCCCAGTATTATAGAAGGGTATAAAACAAGCCCAAGTAAGTAACCTGACAGAATCGCTTGACAAAAGGCGGAAGCAATCTCCAACACGAGGGCGCGAAAAATGCACGTACTCGGAATAGTCGCATTAGCGACGTGATATCGAAGCCGCCACACTTCTTTTTGGCGGGATTACTTCCATGGGGAGCCCGATCGCCCGAGTCCTCTGGGTAATAGCATTGCCGTCTAATACCGACATTCCGTCATAGCATATATGAGAAAGGAGGAATGGATAGGACAGATGGTTAGTGGTACCATGAGTAAGTAAGTTCATACGTGCGATATTTACTCTACCGGAATCTACCCTTAAATATCAACTTCCAAGGTTGCGGCTTTCAAGTAATATCATTCAAGAGGGCTGTGCTCTGTGGCGGCCTGTTGATTAGTGCACAGGGTGACAATGTAACTGGTTAATATATTCGCATAACCCAGGGCTGAGGAGGGGGTGATCCCTTGGGCCAGAGGCTGTCTGTTGAGAAAAACAAAAGCACTAGTAGTAGATAGTTAGTAGCACAGACGAAGATCCGGCTGTGGTAATTAGCTGAGAGCGGCTGCTGCCCGCTGTCATCTGGCACCAGTACCATGACTGCTTTAACCAGAAACCCGTGGCAGACACACAGAATTAAAGTTGATAGTCGCCGTTTGGAATCGTGACGTTGGCGTAGGGTGCTGCAGCCTGGTGCAGCTAGTTATATGTACGCTCTCTCGTGTGCGGGTAAGCTAGTCGTGGCCTGCATCAGCCAGGGATTGACTTGAACGAGCCAAAAAGGATTGCTTGCGTATAGTAGTAGCATATCCTGGATGATGAGAGTACCTCTTCTAGGCGTGGAAGAGAGCTGGAAAGGAAAAAGGGAAAAAAAAAAAAAAAGAAAAGAAAAAAAAAGCCTGTAATCCCGATTCACTGCCCGGCGGGGAGAAAAAAACATCAAGAATATCGTCCTTGCCCGCGTATATTATCCGTATGTATGCATGGTCCCCGTGCATCGTCCCCTTGGCCCGGGAAGCTGCAGTGGTCGAGTAGCCTTTTGTTTGTCGCCTGGATGCGAGGAGCTCGAGGGCACAGGACGGCCAACAAACAGGCTGTCCCGCTTGGCGACGGGCAAGATAGAAGGGCGTAAGTACTCTGTGATAGCCATCGACCGGGGTGTAATAATCGGTGTCTCTTTTCATCGCACACACGCCATCTCGAGTAGCTGCATCTGTGTCTGTAGGCTCCCACCGGCGTCCGCGTGAAGCCCATTCGTAAGCCCTGGAGCAGGCTGATTTGTCACTGACTGCAGCGAGCGTCCCTTTCGAGTCAGCCTGGTGTATACTCGTATGGACATCGCATCCTATCGACTGGCCAGTTGGTTGGATGCTGCGTGGTTCGTCTGCTAGTTAACCCGTTAGTTAGTTAGCTGGGGTCCAAGTCGAAGACTGATGGCCGCAGGAGAAGGGAGGAAGAAGCTCTCACCACCCGCCACGCCAGCGCTCGCCGCCAGCACTGAAGAAGGACTGCATCTCGCAGCCTGTAGCTCGTAGACGCCCTCGCCCTCGACCGTCCCTCGAACAGTCCAGCGAGACCTCGCCGGCGCTGCTGCTTGCTCGCGACCAAAACGGCCGTCTCACGCTTCGTCTTTCTTCTTAACTAAGCCCAAGACTGGAGAAGAAGCAAAAAAAGCCTCCACCCGAAAAGAGAGAGCGAAGAGAGAGAGAGAGAGAAGAAAAAAAAAGCCGCCCACCTGTTTTCGTTTTCGTCCTTCGTCCTTCTTCTCCTGCAGCCAAACAACCGACATCTCTCACCCTCACTCTCTCACTCTCTCTCTCACTCACTCACTCTCTCTCTTCTCCCTCGCCTCGTAAAGAAGAAGAAGAAGAAGACGAAGAAGACGAAGAATCAGAAGACGACGCAGACACTCTTCTTCGTCTCTCCCTTTTCTTCTTTTCTCCCTCTCTTCTCTCCGTCCTTCCGTCTCTCCGTCTCCCCGTCAAGTCCCCTTCGATTCTATCCTTAACCACGCTCTCTTTTTCCGCTGCCAGGATCTTCTCTGTTTTGGTTATATTATTCTTTTTCTTGCTATTAACTGGGGGGGTTTTGCATCGTCGGGGGTTCCTTTTTTTCTCTTTTCTAATTCACTGTTTTACTGCTGCTGCTGGCTTCGTTTCTTTGGCCGCTTGGTTGCTGGGAACTCGCCCATCCATCTACAAACAACGCACTCGGGATTGAAGAATAAACGGCCTGCTCCCTCCATCAGTGCTGAGCTCGCTGCATCTGCCTCGCCCTAATCCACCGTAATCGCCTCCCGTCGCCGTCGTCGCCGTCGATCAGCCCGGACAAGCATCGAATATGGCGTCCATCCAGTCTCCCACCCCAAAACTCGACCGATACATCATCATCCACGTCGCTACAACCTGTGATGAACATGGCGTCTACGTTACAAAGGACTCTGCCGAAGTCATTGAGCTTGGATGGATACTCCTGGACACCAAGAACTGTGAAGAGGTAGGCCGCCGTGGCTTCACCCAGCCCGTCTCAGAGTGGCCAGCTTGCTGACCACGTATATCAATTACCTCCAGATCCATCGTGAGAGTGTCCTGGTGAAGCCAGTCAACACTCCCATTACGCCTCTTTGCAGTACGTCTTCTCCAATTCCTTTTTAATTTTCTTATTTATATATAT